GAAAAAGTACAAATAAAGTACAAATACTGCCCAAATTACCCCTTTTTGGAAAGTAAATAGTATTGAGTAAGAGGCATTGTGAGGTTTTAGTCACTTTTTTGGAAAATGAAGTAATTGATTTTCTTTTCACAAAGTTGTCAGTTTAACAAGTTATTTCTTATACACAGCATAGGCATACTTACAATTACACCCCAAAAAACATTCTGCTATGTCTCAGGAGTATGGAGACACCACATGTGAGACTTTTTCACACCCTAGATGTATAGAGGTGACCAAAAGAGGTTAACACCCCGGTCACACCGGGTGCGACTTGGCATGCGATTTGCATTCAATGCGACTTGCAAATCGTATGCCAAGTCACACCATATTGTCTGCAATTATAGAGGTCAAATCGGTACGGTTCCGACTTGATTGGACCTGCACTGATATCTAAAGTAGTACATGTACTACTTTTGGTGCGATTTGCATAGACATCTGTGTCAGATGTCTTGCAAATCACACCTGAAAACAGCATCTCACCCGACTTTGAAATCGTGCGAAAGTCGGGTTTGATGTGACCGAGGGGATAAGGAGCATAATTTAAAGAGAAACAGCCACAGAATAAGCCCATAGTCATAGGCATAGTGAATCTTTTGAAATTTTGTTTTTGCCACAAGTTTTTGAAAAATGTAGAATTTTTTTTTTTATACAATATTGTTAATTAATAAGGATATTTCTAACAAACATCATAGGAATACTTAGAATTACACCTCAAAACACATTCTGCTACTCCTCATGATGATACCACATGCATGATATTTTTTCACAGTTTAGCTACATAAAGAGGCCCCAAATCCAAGAAGCACCTTTAGGCATTCTAGGGGCATGAATTACACATCTAATTTCCTGACTACATATCACAATTTGTGGAGGCCTTGGAGCACCAGGACAGTGGAAACATCCACAAAATTACCACATTTTATAAAGAAAACACCCCAAGAGGAATGGTGATTCTTTTGAAGACCTAATTTTTTTACCACAAGTTTCTGGAAAATGTAGAATAAAAATGAAAAATGGAAATGTAGTTGTCAATGAATAAGATATTTTTAACACACAACATACGCATATTCCTTCCGAGTGTGGTGATACCACATATGTGAGACTTTTTCACAGTCCTATCCTTTGTAACCAGTCATAGAGATCACAATAGTAAACACTAGCATCATAGATGACAGATATTTTTTAAATTTTCCTGACTGTGATTGGCCACAGCGATCACATGCTACAGTTACAGTGGCCTGCTGCATGGCTCCCACCAAACAGGGGGCTTAATGGGTTTACGTTTGTATGCACAGCCAAATCATGGTCTAAACATTGGTTTATAGTGATCTGTGCCATTCCTGCTGTCAATCTAGAAAGCAGTGGGCAGGACTACACTAATTAGTAGGCAACACTAATGTCATGGTCCAGGATCTGAACCTGGAACCTCTGTGGTGTCTGGTTGTAGCTCTTCTTGCTGTGCCACCTAAGATGCTAGACAGCTACTTGCCCGATCCCTTGGACAACACTTGTATCTCATTTCTGGTGAACCGCAAACTCTTTGCTCCACCCATGAACTTTCTGATTTAAGCCATATCGCTGCACTTCCTTTTTAACAGGTTATTGTGCTCTCTCCAGCCAATATCTTGCTCCTTTGCATTCTTGTAGCTGTCCTTATATTCGCTAACACTTGTTATTAACCTTGGCTTGTTCATCGACTATGCTTCTGTCTGACTACATCCAGCTACTACTTGATACTGACCCTAGGCTTGTTCATCCACTACGCTTCTGCTTGTTCCTTATCTGCTTTATCTGCTACTTAACTCCTGCTTGTTCTTTTTCGGCTGGGGAAGTCCTGAAGGCCAAGACCCGGCATTAGCACGTAGCAAAATCTATCTCCACCATCAGGAGTTTGGGTGAAGACTGGCTAGTGGTTAGCCCCCAAACTTTGGGTGAGCCTGCGTCATCCGCTAGCAGATATTTTTGTGTAGTAATCCAGCTGACTACTCTCTCAACTTCTACAGCCACTGGTCTTTGAGCCTGACTACAAAAAGTGACAACTAATTAGTCCAACTGTACTTCTTTATCTACAGTAAAATTAGTTGTTTCAAATGAATATAAATTTTATGTTAACAAATTTGTCAGTATTTATAACTGTTCAGTTTGGTATACTTAAAGAGGTGCTTTTGTTTTATTTTCTTCTGAAGTCTAAATTGGAATCTTTCATGTGACTAGAAACATTGACTACAAAGTTATTCTGTAGCTATCTGTCCTCATTCTAGGATCACAGAGTTCTGCTACAATCTCTTTGCCACACAACCAAGATATGCTGACTAGTTATGCAAGAATGGGTTCATCTCTATTACAAAGTGAAACAAATGCAAAGTAAATGTCAAGTTTTCCCATTCAGTGCAAGGGTGTTAGAAGCTCTACCAACTGCATAATCAATGGAGAAATTTAAATAACAGAAAGATGTTCAGCAAAAAATGGTGTGTCAGATCCTGTGAACAGCTTAGGTTTTGCTGGTAACATTTAAACAGAGCAGATTATGTATGTAAAAATCACAATATAAAATCTTAGGCCACGTTTCACATTGTTGTGAGTATGTCAGCCAAATATTAATTGATTCCCTTTTGGCTATCATGTCCAGAGTCAAGTCAGGGTATTGTACTGCCTCACCAGGTTAAACATACAAGGAAGGAAACCGTCTACACTGCTCAGAAAAATTAAAGGAACACTTTGAAAACACATCAGATCTCAATGGGGAAAAATATATCATGCTGGCCATGTATACTGATATGGACTGGGTAATGTGTTAAAAATGTAAGCATGCCACATCATTTGATGGAAATGAAAATTATCAACATACAGAGGATGGAATTCAAAGACACCCTGAAAATCAAAGTGAAAAATAATGCAGCAGGATAGTCCATTTTGCTGAAATTTCATTGCAGCAACTCAAAATGGTACTCAGTAGTTTGTATGGCCCCCATGGGCTTGTATCCATGCCTGACAATGTCGGGGCATGCTCCTAATGAGACAACAGATGGTGTCCTGGGGTATTTCCTCGCAGATCTGGACCAGGGCATCACTGAGCTCCTGGACAGTCTGAGGTGCAACCTGGCAGAGTCAGATGGACCTAAACATGATATCCCAGAGGTGTTCTATTGGATTTAGGTCAAGCGAGCGTGGGGGCCATTCAATGGTGTCATCTCCTTAATCCTTCAGGAACTGCCTGCATACTCTCGCCACAAGAGACCAGGCATTGTCGCCCACCAGGAGGAGGAAACCAGGACCCACTGCACCAGCGTGGGGTCTGACAATGGGTCTAAGGATTTCACCCTGATATCTAATGGCAGTCAGGGTGTCATTGTCTAGCCTGTAGAGGTCTCTGCGTCCCTCCATGGATATGCCTCACCAGACCATCACTGACCCCTCACCAAAATGGTCATGCTGAATGATGTTATAGGCAGCATAACATTCTCCACGGCTTCTCCGGACCCTTTCATGTGTGTCACATGTTCTCACAGTGAACCTCCTCTCATCTGTGAAAAACACAGGGCACCAGTGGTGGACCTGACAATTCTGGTGTTCAATGGCAAATGCCAATCGAGCTCTATGGTGCCCAGCAGTGAGCACAGGGCCCACTAGAGGACGTCACGCCCTCAGGCCACCCTCATGAAGTCTGTTATTGATTGTTTGGTCAGAGACATTCACACCAGTGGCCTGCTGGAGATCATTTTGTAGGGCTCTGCCAATGCTCATCCTGTTCCTCCTTGCACAAAGGAGCAGATACCAGTCCTGCTGATGGGTTAAGGACCTTCTACAGCCCTGTCCAGTTCTCCTAGAGTAACTGCCTGTCTCCTGGAATGCTCTTGAGACTGTGGTGGGAGACACAGCAAACCTTCTGGCAATTGATGTGCCATCCTGCCTGTGCAACCTCTGTAGGGCCCAGGTATTGCCTCATACTCTACCAGTAGAGACACTGACCCTAGTCAAATGCAAAACTAGTAAAAAACAGTCAGAAAAGATAAGTAGGGAAAAAATTGTCAGTGGCCTCCAATTGTAAAACGATTCCTGTTTTGGAGTTCATCTCATTGTTGCCCATCTAGTGCACCTGTTGCTAATTTCATTAACACCAAAGCAGTTGAAACTGATTAACAACCCCCTCTGCTACTTAACTGACCAGATAACTATCCCAGGAGTTTAATTGGCTTGATGCTATACTCTGATTAAAAAGTGTTCCTTTAATTTTTTTGAGCAGTGTATACTATAGACTCAGATGATGATGTCACTGTAGGTTTTGGCTAGAGAAGGGTGTAAGCCATCCCTCGACCATTTTATCAATAATGTATTTTTAAAGCTTTCCTCTTTTTAGTTAATTGTTTAGTTTAATGCTTGACCAACATGTAAAAGGTACCCCAACATTCATGGAAAAATATAGAAAATCCAAAAAAAGTAATATAGCAATATAGTATATACTATTGCTACAGAAGCAATATTATAATTTGATTAAACTAAAATTACCTTTCCTTTTCAATCTGCAGCTGCTGCAATTTTCTATAAATTCAATGCAATATGTAATTTCCTGCTTGGGTAAGGAACTCTGCACTAAGATGAAAGTCAAATTTTAGGCATCTTCTGGAACATATTTTTGGTGAGATACTACTTAAGGGTTAATCACTTCTAAAGGGATGCGAATACTGCAACGTTTCTCATCAGGACCATAAAAGTGCATCAGTTGCTTGTAATGAATTAGCTGAATCCATTCAGAATCAGTCCATCAGTCCTGTATATGACATGATCTAACAAATAACTATTGCTTAACTACTTCCGTGCCACCATATAGCAAAAATACTGCTACAGGGCAGCATGGCTGTGCAAACTCACGTATATATACGTGTCTTTGCACCCCCGGGTAGGGGTCACGTGAGCTGTTCATGGCCCTAACCGCGCTGCCATTCACGGCCTCAGCTGATAATCACTGGGTCAGGCCAGCGAGTATTTCTGATGGGGGCGAGACCTGTGTATAAACAACACAGATCTCTCTCCTGTCAGCTCCTGCACACTGCTTTGTATGGCTTTGTATGGCAGTGTGCTTACAGTGAAGCACACACACAGCCCCCATAGTGAAACAGCACACAGTTAACCCTTTGATCACCCCTTCATGCCCAATGCCATTTAGTACAGTGTCAGTACTTTTTATTAGCACTGATCATTATATTGGTGTCACTGGGGATGTCAGTGACACCAAGTCAGTTCCCACCACTGTCAGAATGTTTCCTCAGTCCTGCTATAAGTCACTGATCGCCCCCATTACTGGTAAAAAAAAGCAAAAAAACCACCAAAATTCCAGTATATATACCGCCATTTGTAAATGCTATAACTTTCACGTAAACCAATTAATTTACACGTATTGGGATTTTTTCTAGCAAAGACATGTAGCAGAATACATTTTGGCCTAAATTTATGATGAAATTTGATTTTTTAAATTCTTTTACTGGACATGTTTAATAGCAAAAAGTCAAAAATATAGTTTTTTTTCTCAAAACTGTCAGGAATATTTTTTTATAGCGCACAAAATAAAAAATGTACAGGTGATCAACTACCACCAAAAAAAGAGCTCTATTTGTGGAAAAAAAATGACGTAAATTTAATTTGGGTGCAGCGTTGCATGACCACGCAGTTGTCAGTTAAAATAACATAGCGCCATATCACAAATATGGCCTACTCAGGATGGGGGGTAAATCCTCTGGAGGGAAAGTGGTTAAGAACAGAAACATGTAGGAATCTGTAACAAAGTTAGTAAAAATCCTTGCAATATACAAAGATCATTCAAGGGGAATTTTTTTTCCAACAAAAGTGGATTTACTCTTTAAGTCACTCAGTCACATAAAGGTGACAAGTAGACAATAGTAACAGTCAAGGTATTATTTGCACCAGTCTGCAGCTATAAATGTCAGGGCAGTTCAGTTAAGGTCAGTTAATAGGCTTGGGGGGGGGGAATTATATAAATTCTGTATTTATAGTTAACTTTTTTAATAAGAAACTAATATGAGACACACTATTGGATACAGAACTTAACAGTCTTACTTTATTTATTATACTAAAAATAATCAGGCCTGTGATGTCCTCCTTGTATATGTTTATGCAATTTTAAAAGCAAGCTCAATTTAATTAGTATTTAAACGGAATTGGCAACCTGGAAGACTGATAACTACAGCGAAATAACAGCAGCTGACTGCAAGGGAGAGTTAGTCTTGCCAGTGGGGAATTACGTGCAAATGAACATTATAACGTGGAGCCTGATCTGTCGTACTGTCATGAATAAGCAGCTGCTTCCACATATTTATAATGTATGCAGCAACAACAAGCTTGTACGATGAGTAAATTTTTGAATTTCTTACATTCCCATACAGTTTTTAGTTCAACAAAAGACATTACGAACAGTGGTAACAGCATCCTCAGAGGAACAATCTGCAAAGGTACATCATTTATCAGGCATCACCAAATTAATCCATCAGGACAAACCGATCCTCTTAATTATTTGAAAAATGGGTTTGGACCACTTACAATTTCACTTTTATATTACAGAAAGCATGAGTAAGTCCCCCTTTACACCCATAGGGTCATGCACATTTAGAAATTGCAATCACCTATTGGAAAGGGGACCTATGCTCCATAACCTCCTATAGCAGGGTATACAGTACAGAGGAAGATCTGTAAGGGGTACAAGGGACTTCTTTACAAATTAGCTTTTAGTTTAAATAGAAGATTAAGGTAAAGAGAAACAGAGTTTACTTCAAAGCTTACCTGTACTTCTAAACTTTGCTACCTGCTTCTTGTATTTTTCACTTGCATACCATGTACACTGATCGTGTAGTTTTATGGTGTCATGTGTTGCCCTATACGCACAGTCTATAGTAGAGTAAATCTTTACATTCCTGTGTCAGAAGTTTCAGTTTGTATTCAAACATGAGACACACATCACAGCTCTGTCTGTAGTTTGGGAACTGACATTTCCTGTGAAGAAGCTACATATCACACAAACCCTGGGTCTCTCAATCTAGTGCTTTGAAGGTTAGAGCTAAACAGTAAAAAAATCTGAAATTAACATAAATAGGTAGAGCCAATAACTGGGAGCTCACAACATAAAGAAAATGACAAAGCATGCATTTGGAAATGTGAGATCCAGAACAAGAAGCTGCCTGTCCATTTGGCAAATAGGGAGAAGAAAGAAGATTTAACACATGAACATTGGTTAGCCAAGATAATGCCTTTAAGATCATAAACTATAATGTGCAAAAACAAACATAGATCACTATGTCAATTAAGGCCCCTTTCACACGGGGCGGATTCGCTTGCTCAGCAGGGGATCGATCTGCTGATCCCCACTGAGCAAGTGGATGACAGGTCCGTTTCCATCTGACTGCCATCTGATCAATCCAACGAATGGAAGGGGAACTGATCCCCATCCATCTCTTTATGGTGGATCAGATCGGATTGGATGTTGGCAGACGTAAATGGACACATGTCCATTTACACCCACCACTCCATAAAGGAGAATAGAGGTTCTGAAAAACGAGCAGGTGGACCCGATCAGAACATCCGTGTGAAAGGGGCCTAAAAGTACACTACATTTTTTCATTCTAGACTCTAGTTTCTGAAAGAGGAACTGCCTCAGCTTCACTGTTATTTTTGCATCGCAGGCTTCAGATGACATAAAAATACTTGATATGAAAAATCTAATAGGTAGCAGTAAGCATTTTCAGCTTCAAAGACTATTAGAAAATACTCTCATAGAAACATAGAAAAGTGATGGCAGAAAAAGACTGAGTGGTCCATCGAGTCTGCCCATTTTTTATTTCTTGTTAATTGTTCTGTCTGAGTATAGATCTATGCTTGTCCCAGGCATGTTTGAAGCTATTTACTTTTGACTGGCTCACTACCTCTGCTGGAAGTTTATCCGAAGCATCAACTACTCTTTCAGTAAAATAATATTTTTGAGATATGTTTTGAACTTTCTTCCAGTTAGTTTAAGGTCATGTCGCTGTGTTCTTTGATTTTGGCTTCATGTTGAAAATACTGCCCTTCTGAACCCTATACACCCCCCACTGAAGTATTTAAAGGTTTCAATCGTATCTCCCCTTTCCCTTATTTCCTCCAGACTCACCAACATATCTTATTAGAAAGCAAGAGAAATAGAATAGAAAATAAAATAAATATGTCAGTTACTGATTGTTTCTGTAATAGAAAAACACAGTTTTATATAAAATTTGAAAGTACATGTTCAGCCCAGATAACTTCCTTTCAGACATGGTACATGTTTGAGGACCAATACGACCTCTTCCATGTCCATTGTTTTGCTTTTTGTAAGCCACTGTAAGGTACTTTGCAAAGAGCTTTTATTATGCAAAATATTAAAAAAAAAAATGAATATTACTGAGACCACTAGAATGTCATTACTGTACATAACTTCTTCTGTTTTAGCTCCAATAGACTCTGCTCCATATTTAAATTAATTTTGTTTTGAAGGTTGAGCCATTGCCAGAATTACAGTGAATTGTATGCACTTCTTAAAGTTCATTTATTTAAAAAGAAGACCATTTCATCTGGGATTATAGTTAAGTCTGATATATCATTCTTATGTGTTCTGTCCAATATTAGATGACTTCTCCTTGGAGACACTATCTTTCCTGCAGAAGTTTAATAGAACTCATAATTTTATCCCCTGGTGCTGACACATGTGATATTACATCCAACTCCATGACAACTTGGGCAGGATCCCAAATAAATATTGGTGAAATATTAGGTACTTTACTTTTTCCTGTATGTTCCACTGTTTTTTCATTTAACTATTATTTCCCCCTTGGAAAATAATAGTGTGCCTATTTTTCCAGGTTAGCCAATTAACAGTAGCCATCAACATATCTTTACAAAATACGGAAAACTCTTTTTTTTTTTTTTTACATTTTGTGTAAATATTTTATAATGAACTCAGATAACATGACAGACACTACAAAACTGCAAAGAAAAGTAATGTGCAGTAATTCATTAAGGGCTAAAGCGATTTTGACTTTCGCTAGCTTAATTTAATTAAACTATTGAAAGGTACTTATCCTACCACATACTAAGGATAGGCAAATCCGTATAGGTTCAATGTGCATGATTCACAAAACCCAAACTTAACAGTGAGTCCCACTGAAATCTATGGGGAAGGCAGGGAGGGGCTAACCTAATACTAAACTCTAGCCATTTTCAAGGCTAATAGGCAAGCTATTGACAAAATTAAATTTAGCTGGGAACTGCCATGGGGACAATTTCCCATTAAAAACCGCTTTCCAACCAGCCTATTGTATAATGACGGCCGGGTGGGATTTTTGCCATTCTGGGTGGACGTCATATAACATCCTCCTGGAACACTCCTGCTTCAGCATGATCTGTCACCAGCTGTGACCACTGGACACAGCCGATGACAGATCAATGTACTGGGCCATTACCTCTACCATGTGATTGCTATGACTAATCACAGCAGATCACATGACAATTGCAAACAATGAATGGCTTAGATTCATGCCATTCACTGTGTACAATTGTGTTGCTAGCTGTGATTGGTCACAGTGATCACATGGTACATACAAGGTCAATCACAGCCCATCTGTATCATGGAATTAGCTGTGGCCAATCATAGCTAGTCACAACCATACACACTGAGTGAATCAATTTAATTCAGTAAAAATGGATGGTTATACCAGGGAAATTCACTGGTATAAGCAATCATAATGTGTAAAAAAAATACTGATCACTTCCTCAGAAAAAGTCATAAAAATTAGAAAAAAACTATTTTTTTTTTAAAATATTGTCACCAGCCAGTGTCCCGATCACCACCACACCAATTATATGATGACACTGATAGTATGTAAAAAAAAATTGTGAGTTTTTTGGGGGGTAATTTCTTCTTTTTTCCAAAAACTTATGACAAAAAATTAAAACTTAAAAAAACCCTCCTCGCAAAAAACGTGCCTCTTCCTAAATACTTTGGACTGTCTAATTTCCAAAAAGGGGGCATTTGGGGGATATTTGTACTGTTCAGACATTTGTGGGCCTCAAGAAATGAGATGGGCCTTCAGTACATCAGGAATGATCTATTTTCAGATATATACCATCATTTGTGAGCTCTATAACTTTCCTAAAGACGAAATATTAAACACTGTTTTGGGTTATTTTCACCAAGGAAGTGTATCAGAATACATTTTGGCCTACATTTATGAAGAACGATTATTTATTTACAAAATGTTATAGCAGAAACTAAGAAAAACACTTGTTTTTCAAAATATTCAGTCTTATTTATTTAGCGATAAATAAAAAATCACCACTAAATACCAAGAAAGCTTTGTGTGAAAAAAAACAAAGATAAAAATTTCATATGGGTACTATGTTGCTTACCCACAGAATTTTCATTCAAGATACGACAGTTCTGAAAGCTGAAAATTGGCCTGGGCAAGAAGGGGGTGAAAATGCCCAGTATTGAAGTTGTTAAACAAAGCAAAAAAAAAAAAAACCCAAAAAAATAGTTTTTAAATATTGTGCAGCTGGAAGATAAGGAGGCCCCCCATACCTATGTGAATGGGTATGATGTATTAAACAAAAAAACAAACAAAAAAAGTTCTTCATTGTAAATCCATCATCAATCATGATGCCTGCTGTCCCCAACTAAAAAAAATTAACAAAAAAAAAAAAAAACCTGACAAACGTCAGCACATGGCTGATTCTGAATGGTCGCCTGCTATATATAGAAAGGGCTGGGGGATAGTGGTAACATTGCCCAAATGTGGCTATATTTAGGCACTTGCTTGAAACCCATTGAGTGGAGCTATGTGAGCAGAAAGATCAGCTGCTGAATCGTAACTCAAGTAGTGGCTGCTGATCTATCTGACACCATTGAGGAAGGTGAGGAAGCCAGAGAGCCTTAACTTCTTGCCCTTCACCCTATAGCAGAAGTATGGCTACAGGGTGGCAGGGCTGTGCAAAATCACGTATATATACCTGGTTTGCATTTTCGGGTAGCCCTACCCCCACCACTATTGGCTGATCAGGATGTCAACCACCGGGTCCCGGGCTTCGATTCCTGGCCGGGACTAGGTGATCGTCGGAGAGGGCTGAGAGGGGAGAGATCTGTGTGTAAACAGCACAGGTCTCTCCCCTGGCAGCATGTACATGCTGCTTTGTATCTCTCTGCACAGCAGGGAGATGCAAAGCAGCATGTCTTCCTAGTAAAACACACACAGCACACAATGTGAAACACACACACAGCACACAGTTAACCCTTTGATCACCACAGATGTTAACCCCTTCCTGCCCAGTGCCATTAGTACAGTGTTAGTGCTTTTTATTAGTACTGATCACTGTATTGGTGTCACTGGAGATGTCAGTGGCCGTTAGTCAGTCCCCACTCAGTGTCAGAGTGCACGCCGCAGTTCTGCAATCCCACTATATGTCGCTGATTGCCACCATTACTAGTATAAAAAATAAATAAATAAATTAAAATTCTAGTATATAAACTGACATTTGTAGACGCTATAACTTTCACGTAAACCAATTAATATATACTTATTGGGATTTTTCTAGCAAAGACATGTAACAGAATACATTTTGGCATAAATTTATGAAGAAATTAAATTTTTAAAATTTTGTTATTGGATATTTTTTTAAAAGAAAATGTAAAAAATATGTTTTTCTTTTTCAAAATTGTTGTTCTTTTTTTGTTTATAGTGCAAAAAATAAAAAATGCAGAGATGATCAAATACAACTGAAAGAAAGCTCTATTTGGGGGGGGAATGACATAAATTTCATTTATGTACAGCGTTGCATGACTGCGCATTTGTCAGTTAACACCCCGGTCACATCAAAGCCGATTTTGAAATCATGAGACCAGGGGCGGACTGACCATTTGGAAACTCGGGCACTGCCCGAGGGCCCGGGGTCAGTAGGGGGCCCCATGAGATGCCCCTGGTACCTTTTTCATAGGCTTTTTTGAGTTTGGGCAAGGACACAGGGGCCCCATGATCCCCTATTGCCCGGGGGCCCCATGAGTTGTCAGTCCGCCCGTGCGTGAGACTTACCTTTTGATCACAGTGTAAGATCTCACAGATATATTTGTTTGTTGTGGTCATACCCATGTTTATATATAGTGTGCAGTGTGTGTAAATAGTGTATTCACTATTAATTCAAATACTACACTATGGTCCCCCTTTTGTTGCTCTGGTGAGCTGTGTCTATATAGCAATCTGATACACCTGTGCAGAGCCAAAGTTTGTAGGAGCTAAACAGAGGCTGGAGCAGATTTAACAAGGAACCCTTATTACTGATATGCATTTTTACTGCCTGTAGTTTAAGCAGCCATTGATTTTAGTGGATTTTCACTTTGATGGACGATTGACGTTTTATGGATCTTGATTTGATGCACATGTTATGGTGTAGAAGGAAATAAATTAAATTTGAAAGAGACTTTTTGTATGCTGTTTGTTTGTATAAACATTTATTGTTGCTTTAACCAATATCCTATCTTTTGGTGTAGCACTACAATAAACCCCCCTCTTTTCACCAGGGTTACAAATTACTTCTTAAATATGTGCTTGTTCACATTTTTCCCCTTGTGCTTTAATATTAAATTACCAATTGGATACTACAAAACACCTCCCCCATTACCAACACGTATGTCATGTGAACACTCTCCCTTTTTTGTGTATATGTAAACTATCAACATTTTCCTTAATGTACTATGTAAACAAATTTTGCAATCCTTTACATAATACGTGATTATCATCAAAAACTTTCAATAGTGCAGTCCTTATGTAAAGTGCTTTAAAGCGGAGTTCCACCTAAAAAAAAAAAAAAAAAAAAAAAAAAGTCAGCAGCTACAAAAACTGTAGTTGCTGACCTTTAAAATACAGCCACTTACCTGTCCCTCGGTCTAGCGGTGTCTTCACCACCGCTGGTTTCACTGGCTGTCTTCTCTCCCTGGTGCCGGCATCTTCAGTGTGGGCACCTGGCTGTGACAGCTTGTGGCTTCACAGCCGAGTGCCCACTGTGCATGAGCAAGAATTGCTGTGCTTTGTGAATGGCCCCGTAGTTTTCTGGGACCTGCCACGTATCCCAGAAGACTACGGGGGGGAGTACAACTAGGCAATCGCAGCGGAAGTGGGAGCGGGTACCTGTAAAATTCGGGTACCTGCTATCGAAAGGTGCCAATCCTTAATGGGGAGCGGGGGACAAAGGCTTAAAGCAGAAACTCCCCTTTTGGGTACAGCTCTGCTTTAAATAGTGTAGTTCCTAAAGTGCTTAAAGCAGTGAAGTCCTTAAGTGCTCCAAACATAAAGTGCCGTTTTGATAATTCTTCTCAAATGCTGTGACACTCATGCACCCCCTCTTATAGGACCCAAATCACTGAAGTTCCAGGACCCCTTTGTGAAAAGTGGGTCACTATCACTTTATTAACCACTGCTCTCCTCCAAGTCTGTGTACTCCACCAATGCTGAATTTTTGTCCACTCTTTACACCTCCATACCACTGGAAAAATATGTAGAAAGAACCAGAGAACAATCTCCTGTAGCATTATACTGTTTATTCAAAATAATTCTTCCAATTAAAATCACACTTACAATTTGTATAGACTTACATGCAAATGCAAGCAACAGTGCTTTGGTTTTGTATCCGGGGTGCTCCTGCATTCCACGGACTGGATGTAAGGCACCAGAAGTGACACAATGGCGCAAGGAAGGCTCCGCCCTATGCATTTCGGCAGCATGACATCATCAGGAGTGGCCTGCTTGTTTATGGTTCAAAACCCTCTATCTTTTTTTTTTTTGCAAGCTGTCTACCATTGAGAAGAATTACCTTCACTTTCCTGTCCCATAGACATAGGTTTTTAGATTCCCCCCCCCCCCCATTTAGTTCTAGTGACAATAGTTACTAGGAAAAATAGCGATGTTCTAACCCTTCTCTACATTAGCCAAAATTAAATCAATGTTTTGGATTTATATACACTTAAAAGTAGATCTAATCCATTCCCAAACATGTAAGAGTAAAGTAGTGCTGTCTTCATCATCTGCTCCACCAGCTGTTCACACACCTTTACATTTTAAAGCACATGCACTTTCCATTGAAATAAAAAGAAATGCTTTAAACAGCATGCTATTGTACACTCTTATGCAGTTCCTTTGAATTCAGTGGAAGCACACGTACAATAAAAATAATATATTTGATTGCAGCCTGGAACACACTCCTTCCCAATATGCAGTCTAACATGAACTAAGCAGCACTGGTACTGACATGCAGATTTCTGCTTTTGCAAAAGTCAACAGCTATACCCTCATCTCTATCACTGACCTCTTCCTTGACTGAAGACAGCAATGACACATCTCTGGAAAGGCTGGGGTGTCTCTCACATGTAGACTGTGACTGTTGACTTGTCTTCAGCTTCTCAATATTGTGAGAGACAAGGTGGTGGCACCCAATGTAGAGTGACTGACTGGATCTCAGTGTATGGATTGGAGCACAATTTTTTCACTGATATGTACCAGTTTAGGTCTCTTGCACACAAGGGTGTCTAACTGCTGTGTGTCACTCCTGGTGTTTTAGCACACCACCCATTAGGCACGAGTGTCAATGTTAAGCTGGACAGGGCTAAATTGTATACTTGCTTTTATGGTCTTTTGCAGGGGTCTCCAAACTTTCTAAACAAACGGCCACATTTACTGTCCTTCAGACCTTAGGGGGACCAGATTATGGTTAGCGGAAGTACAAAATGTCCTGACATCAGTAGAAAAGTAAACAATGCTCCATCTTTGGTATTACAGTGAGGAATAGTGCCTCTTCGTTGGTTTCAGTGATGAAAAATAGTGTCCCATCATTGGTGTCAGTTGCAAGAATCATATCCCATTGTTGGCGTCAGTGGCAGGAATGGTGCCCCATTGTTGCTGTCAGTGGGAGGAATGGTGTCCCACTGTTGGTGTCAGTGAAAATAACAATGCCCCATTGTTGATGTAAGTGGAAGGAATAGTGCCTCATTCTTGGTGTTACTGAGAGGGATAGTGCCCAAAGGGCCTGATAAAGGCAAGCAAAGGGCAGCATCCAGCCCTCGGGCTACAGTTTGGAGACCAGTAGTGCAATTCATTCAGGTACAAGTGCCTGGAGTGCATGTCTGCAGCAATAAAACATTTTAAAAGAAAGAGACACCATTTAAACATAACAGTTACTTCCAGTGAGAAGGAGGTGGTATCTATACTAGAAGAGTATTTCATGGAAGCTTCTAAAAGCTGTCAAAAATGACAAAAGCAGCCAGAGTCCTCTCTATGAATATGTTTGTGCTTTCACCTCCATTTGGCTTACAGAGATGAATGAAAGCAATGAATGGAAAAGGAACACAAGCACAAAGAAATAACCTGTGTAAGCTGTTTGCTCCATGTCTGAAAAATAGATCAAATGCTACTGAAAATAATTTATAGAATGTAGCTAGTGTCCAGTAATAACGTGAGTCCCTGACCACAAGATAGATACATGCATGGGCAGCATAGTGGCTAAATGGCTAGCCCTTCTGTCTAGAAGCACTAGGGTAGTTGCTTCAAAACCCAACCATGACACTACCTGCTTGGAGTTTGCATGTTCTACCTGTACCTGTGTGGGTTTCCTTCAGGTACTGCAGATTCCTCCCACCACCAAATACATGTTGGTAGATTAACTGGCTCCTGTCTCAATTCTCCCTAGTATGTGTATGAATGAATGTGAGTTAGGAACCTTGAGGGAAGGGACTGATAGGAAAATGTAATAAATATGTAAAGTGCTGTGTATATTGACAGTTCTATATAAGTACATGTAATAAACACTCTGTGTGGCCAGGTACATTCACATTTGCTTATGTTGAATAATGTACTGTATTTTGCTAGCACAAAACATGCTGTAAAAAAGCCACTTGCTACATAAAAAATAAACAGCACTGAACATATATCTGTCTCTCTGTTCACTCAAGTTGCATGGAGAAGTTGGCACAAGCTTTTAGGTAATATCTGCCTGACTTCAGCAGAACAATACTATCTAAATGGCCCACCCACTAGATGCAGCACAGTCCAGCCTAAGAGGAGAAGAGAGACCGTACTCCTCTCCATCAAAATCATTCATCATGTTATCAGTGTCTTCTTCTGCCAACAGAGGTAGCAGAACATCCAAGATAGCTTCCCTTCAGGACCATACCAGACATGAAAACAGAGGTCCAATTTAACCTCTTCCTGCCCAGGGTCTTTACACCTGGGGGAAGGCCTACCAATTATGTGACCACTGTGCATGGCTGTCATAACGGCATAGTACTAGAGACAGGGAGCTGAACTCTTGAAACTGTGCCCTTCCAAAAACCCAAACAAACAGAGGATGAGGGAATAGTCACCAATAAAGTCTGTAGTCTCTCAGAGACTAGCAGTCAGGGACAGCATACATTTTTCCAAATATTGCTCCAGGTGGGATCATGCTCTACACTACAAACTCTATCCCAATTGCTGGTGCCAATTTGTTTCCTTTGGAACAATTTACATATTCATATCAATGGAATACTGCCACACAGTAAAGGGAACAGAAAAACAAAATTATGTAGTAATGCATGTTAACATTCCACACATAAAAAACAAGTGGTAAGTACTGCACTTACAAATGTAGGCAAAAATTGTGTAAGTGTGTTTTATGTGCACAATTTTAATAAAGGCATTACTACACTATGTCATTTTTCTGTGCCCTTTTCTTCCCTTCTCTGTTATAGATCTCTCTTTGGATTCCTAGTCCAGTGGCAGTGAAAGCACACAGCAAGTGATAGCTTTCTCATGTTTACTATATAATGTAATCTCTGGGATGATGTTAACCACCTTACGATTTTACCCCCTTACGTGATCAGGCTATTTTTTGGTGTTTGGCACTGCACTACTTTAACTGGTAATTGCACGGTCATGCAGTGCTGTATGCAAATGAAATGTATATCCCTTTTTCACACAAACAGAGCTACTTTAACTGGTAATTGCGGGGTCATGCAATGCTGTATGCAAATGAAATGTATATCCCTTTTTCACACAAACAGAGCTACTTT